CCCTCGTCAACTCCGTCGAGGTCCTCCTCCGCACGGACGGCCGGCCGCTCAACGCGCGCATCGAGCTCCTCCAGGGCCCGAACAACAACAAGCAGGTCATCGAGCTCTACACGGAGGACGGCTTGGACCGCCCCTTCTTCGCCATCCTCGAGACGCCCGGCTCGGGCAACGTCGTGCGCATCGTCAACACGGCGCCCGTCGAGTTCCCCATGACGGCCGCCGTCGTCCCGCACTCCATCGACGACAAGATGGCGTCGGGCGCCTTCGACGGCGACGTCGTCATCGGCGGCGACATCGGCTGGTAGAACACCCGAGTGTACCGCTTCCCGTCTCGCTCCCTTCCCGCTCTCGTCGCCCGAACCCGAACCCGAACCAGAACCAAAGCGCGTGAAAACCGCACCCAAAGCCGAACCTTGTTGTGTCGAAGATGTAAGAACTCGGTGTCGAAATACGAGCAGGGGTCCGACAGGGACGTTCAACCGACGACTACCGCGAACGACCGTGACGACGGCGGCATGGGCGCGCCGGTGAGTCCGGGTGCTCCTGGGGCGGGCCGGTCTTGACGGACGGCCCAGATGACGAGCGTTCTCGCGCCGTGCCGGGAGGAGGGGGCGCCCTGGAGGTGGTGGCCCCGGGCGCGTGGTCCGCGTGGCCGTAAATTGCCGTCGACGGAAGTGCATGTTGAAAAGCTCAAACTTGATGTTGCCCCTGCTTCTTGTTGCGCTCGAACGAGAACGTCATCCGCCCGCATCTCATTCCACCGACACCATGGTCCGCACCCTCGTCCTCGCCCTCGCGCTCTCCGCCACCGATGCACTCGTCCCCGGGGCCACGCGGAGCCCGCGCGTCGCGCCCATGAAGATGATGGAGACGATGCCGTACAGCTCGCCCACCGCCCAGTCGTCGTCCGGCCCGCTGGGCCTGGGCCCCCGCGAGTCTCCCAAGATTGCCCAGGGCGCCGACTCCACGATCCTCGTGCAGGGCGGCTCGCTTCGCACGTGGTCCTACAAGTCGCCGCTCGTCAACCAGGTGCAGGTCGTGCTCTCGACGGAGGGCCGCCCGCTCGACGCCGACCTCGAGCTCTGGCACGGCCCGGACAACACGCCCTGCAAGATGCGCGTGTACGTCGAGAACGGCCAGCTCCGCCCCTTCAGCTGCGTGATCGCGACGCCGCGCGGCCCCAACACGGTCGCGATCCGCAACATCGGCCAGATGGAGTTCCCGATCGCCGCCGACGTCTACGCCAACGACGTCGAGAACCCCTCCGCCGAGACCGCCGGCTCGGCCACGACCATCCAGGGCGGCGCGCTCCGCACGTACCCGTTCGACCCCCTCGTCAACTCCGTCGAGGTCCTCCTCCGCACGGACGGCCGGCCGCTCAACGCGCGCATCGAGCTCCTCCAGGGCCCGAACAACAACAAGCAGGTCATCGAGCTGTACACGGAGGACGGCTTGGACCGCCCCTTCTTCGCGATCCTCGAGACGCCCGGCTCGGGCAACGTCGTGCGCATCGTCAACACGGCGCCCGTCGAGTTCCCCATGACCGCGGCCGTCGTCCCGCACTCCATCGACGACAAGATGGCGTCGGGCGCCTTCGACGGCGACGTCGTCATCGGCGGCGACATCGGCTGGTGATCTACCCGAGCCCACGCGTCGCTCGTCCCGGCGGCCGAGGTACCAAGCGCCCCGCCTCGCCGCCCCCCCCCCTCGTCGCCCGCTCCCGAACCCGAACTCGTTTCTTTCGAAGCTGTGTAAAGACCTCCGTGTTGACTAGAGTACGCGCGGTCCTCGGCGTTCGTGGTGTGGCTCGACCGGGTGGCGCCGCGGCGTCTCCCGGGCGGGGGGGCGTCGCGCGCGCCTAGCGGTCTTCGTCGCGCTCGTGGAACTTGGACAGGATGCCGGCGATGGCGGCGGCGGAGAGGACGGCGGCGCGCTTGACGAGGGTCGGGTTGAGCTTGCGCGTGACGACGACGAGGCAGACGAGGCTCGCGATGGCGAGCGCGGCGCCGAGGACGGCGTCGCCGACGTCCGGCTCGGCGCCGCCCGGCTTCCGCGGCTCGGCGCCGCCCGGCGTCTCGCTTTCCGCGCCGCCGTCCGCGAAGTCGCCGCCGTCGAGGCGCGCGAAGAGCTCGTCGATGGGGTCCGCCGCCGACGCCTCGGACGCGAGGCTCGGCACGTCCTCGAGCTCGCCGCCGTCGAACGCGAGCGCCTCCCGCTGGGTCTCGAGGCTCTTCGCGAGCGCCTCGTCGCCGCCCCCGCGCTCGCCCCGGAGCTCCTCGAGCTCCGCGGACAGCGTCGCGACCATCTTCCGGAGCGTCTCGGCTTCCGTCTCCGCCTCGGCGCACCCGGCGCGCGCCGCGATCGCCCGCTGGACGGCCGGGTCGCGCGCGAGCTCCGCGCCGAGGGCCAACGCGCGCCGCGCGACGTCGCCGCCCAGCGCCGCCACGGCCTTGTCGTCGCGCCGCAGCTCCGGCCCGAGCGCCCGGAGGCCCTCGTCGACGTCCCCGGCGCCGAGGTCCACCCAGGACCCGGCCAGCGTCGGGAAGTCGTCCTCGCGGCGCAAGGTCTGGGACGTCAGCACCGTCGTCGTCGCGCCGGCGGCGACCGCCGCGGCCTTTTTCGTCGTCTGCGCCGCCATATTTTCTCAGACGACCCGCTGTGGCAGCGGACCTGTGCGGCCGCACACGCCGCGCCGCCCCCGCCGGGGCCGCGTTGGAGTCGTGCCCCGGGTTACGCGCGAGGGAGGCGTTCGGCGCGCGCGCGCCGCGATGGCGGCGCCCGCCCCGACTCGCGACGGTGCCGGGGTCGCCCTCACCAGCCGTCGCCGTTCGCGCGGATGGTCGCGCCGGGCGGCCAGGGCTCGGCCTCCGCGGTGGCGACGCGGAGCATGGTCGGGTCGACGAAGCGCTTGCTCGACGCGCTCGGGTACTCGACGTCGCAGCGCGCGAGCGGCGCGGCGCCGAGCCGCTCGTAGAAGGCCGGCACGCCGCTGCAGAAGACGCAGTCGTCGAGCCCGCCGCCGAGGCGCGCCCAGGCGGCGCGGACGACGGCGGCGCCGAGGCCCCGGCCGCGCGCCCGCGGCGACGACGCGACGTGCGCGAGCGCGAGCACGCGCCGGTCGGCGCCGCCGACGCCGACGACGCGGACGAAGGACCGCGCGGCGGCGACGCAGGCGCCGTCGCGCTCGAAGACGGCGTGGACCATCTCCGCCGTCGCGCCGGCCGTCGCGAGGCGCGCGACGGCCTCGGCGTAGCGGTCCCGGCCGGGCGCCGTCGGGAAGGCCTCGGACCAGAGCGCGCAGACGGCCCGCAGCTCTTCCTCGCTCAGGTCGCCCGTCGGCGACGACGTCGCGAGGGGCGTCGGGGCGCAGGCGGAGTCGTCGGACGACGCGGACACCGTGCGGACGTCGCCCATCCCGAGGCCGAAAAAAAGCTCGTCGTCGGTGGCCGTCGGCGCTGAGTCGGATGAGCTCGGCCAATCATCATGCTTGACTTTTGGCTGCCCAGCGGAGAGGGGTGGGCGCTGGGGCGTCAGCGGGCTGCGCGGCGGCCGGTCCGGCCGACCATGACGGACCCGTCGCCGTTGAAGCCGAAGAAGAGCGGCCGCGTCGGGCCGGCGCCGACGGTCATCTCGAGCAACCTGAAGACCATGCGCAAGGTCAAGGCCGCCGACGCCGAGGCGGCGCCCGAGACGCCCAGCGGCCCGGCGAAGAAGTACAAGGTCAAGGCGAAGCCGGAGAAGGCGCTGTCGGCGACGGAGAAGATGCGCGCGCGCGCCGAGGCCGAGGAGCGGCAGAAGGGCCAGCGGCTCACGGACCTGAGCGTCAAGGAGCAGAGCTACGTCGCGGCGATGCTGGGCAAGCTCCTGAAGAAGATCGCGCGGCCGCGCGTGCGCCTCGTGCACCCCAAGGCCATCGAGATGTGCAACGCGCTCGGCCTCGGCCAGTGGCACCTGCGCATCCTCAAGGAGAAGTTCGAGGAGATCGACGTCGACAACAGCGGCAACATCGACCCGGAGGAGTTCTTCGAGTCCATGGACGAGGCGCGGTCCATGCTCACGGACGAGCTCTTCCGCGTCATGGACCTCGACGGCAACCAGCGCATCGAGTTCGACGAG